GACCTGGCCAAAATAGCCCTGAAATTATAGCATAAAACAGACACTGACCAGTGTTAAAAAAGACACGAGAGGAGAAGGAGATGAATTAAGACGTAGATGAGACCGTGCCAGATAGTGTAACTTGAGGGAGGAGAGGACAGAGCGAAAGCGCTGGGGCCCGAGGCAGCTCCACCTCTCACATTAAACCCTGATTACGGCAGCAGCAGAGAGGGCCGAGATAAACCGATAAAGAGAATGTTCCACCCAGCTCTGCCGGGAGGCCCGAGGACTCTTTACGCAGACAAATTACGCACACACTCGAACCATTATCCACCGCGGAACACGCTGTTTTCTGGGACGAGAGCAGGAACCCGCTGAGAATTTTGTAAACATTTAAAATTCTTAACTAAGCAGTTTTTTTTTCCCCCTTCTCTTTTTGATCAACTCCCGGGGTGAACAAAGAAAAGAGACTGAATCAATTCCACCTTTTACAGTACAATTACCTTCTGATACAAACTCTATTCTGGCATATTGATTCCATTTAACTGATACTACATTTGAAAGAAGCTTATTCAGGGTGACAGGGGAAACGAAAGGCACAAATGGCACAAATCTGCTTAAATGGGAGGGCATGAGCTGTGGTATTAAGAGCAAATAACCACGTAGCAATATGCGCTACAGTCTTCTGTCCTTAGCAAACATTACCACAGTAAACTGTCCTAACAAACCTATCCAACCAAACAGACAGCATCTCTAATGTGAAATTTAGTGAGAGGATCTGGGGAAGTGGGCCTGGAGGATCAGGAGCTCACACAACATGGGGGCCGACGTGAAATGGAGATATTCTGAGCGAGGAGAAAGAGAAGGGGGCCGAGTTCTTTGACCGTGGATCTGTTAGAGAGAGGCTCCCAAGGCCAGAGTCAACAAACGCTCCCCTAATCACAAACGATTACTGCCTTTATGGTTGTGCTATCCAGAGGCTCTGAATTCTTTCGCTCCGAAACGCAGGATGAAATGCAGGCCCATGTGGACCAGCATCGGGACAGAGGGCCCACCTGTGTGTATTCAGCACACTAACAGTGGCTAATCATACCGGAGATGAGGGCTGGACAGCTACTGGAATTTATGTGTGTGTGAGTGTGTGTGTGTCACACACACACACATACACACACACACTTGCATTCACATACGCAATAAACACACATACAAATGCATGCACGCACGCACACACACACAGATGCAAGCACAAACAAATACACGCACACGCATGCACACGCACACGCAGATTCTTGCAGTCACGGGCTTGTATGCAAACACACACACAGACAAACACTCAAATGCACACACACTCATGACTACACAAAGCCAAGCGGTTCCAGGTATGAGTCATGAAGCGGAGAGCTTAAAACTGTCAGCGGTGTTCCGAGGCGTAAATCTGCCCCGCTGGGGGGGAGATCCTGAAAGGCAGCTGGCTTCCAGGACCGCTGGCCCAAAACGCATCTCCCCTACGGCGCACAGGCCCCAATCCTTCAGGAAATCCCGTCGTTACCCCCCCCCCCCCGAGGAGTGACAAATAGAGCCCCAGGTCACATGGCTCCCCCTGCTAATCCTGCCATCTGATTTCCATGGCCTCAGACCTCCAACGGAAAAACGTTTTTTTTAACAAACTGCACCTGAAATGAATCTTACCTCAGCCCTTTCTTTCTTTTTTTGTTGATGTTTGGCCACGGCATCTCCATATCTCCAAATTCCCATGTAAATGGAAAGGATTTTGGCTCTGGCCAATCACCGGCCTGGCCCGTGTGAGGTGTTGACCCCAGATTGCCAAAGCAGAAGGCTTCAGCCTTGAGAACCTGCAAAGCTGTCTGTGCCACGGTAATTTCTAGGAAATATATGCCATCACAGAACAAGGGGGTGACTAGGGCACCCCCGAGAGCTTCAGGAATTTCCAGAAATACTACATTCCCGTTTAACCATGAATGCAGAAACAGGGATGTGACTGGGGCGAGGGTGTCTTTCGCATTGGCACAGATCCTATCACGCCACTGCTGGAACTGGGTGTAGCTGGACCTGCTGGAATACAGCTCTGCCACCAGGGGGCGATCACAGCACTCTCCAAGCAGGTAAATTGAAATCCTCCTGAAAGTCATGCCTGAGAGAATGTGCCTTTCCCCTCGGCTGAGAAAAACTTCATATTAATAAATAATTTACACGCTCTTCAACCTCTTTCTTTTTTCGTCTCTGGAACGCTGGAGTGAGGGAAACAAGAGGGGTCTGTAGATGCAATCAGGGCCTGATCTTCCAAGCCCCAGCGAAGCTCAAATCCCAGGAAGGGGTCTGGTTTCTCTCAGCGCCTGACAGCGCTACACCTAAATGTAAAAACGGATCGGTACCACCGTCTTTAAGACCACGTCCGAGCAGAAACCCACCTGATATAACACAGGCCTGCTTTTGAAACAATGGACTTAAAACAAATTCTTCCATAAGAATTTGTAGTTAGTTCCTTTCCCTATGTCATTTTTGTCAACAGTAATGTCGCTGTAGCTCTGTGAAACCAAACGTACAACGACAGGACAACTGCAGCCTAATTAACACAGCAACCGCCTGCAGTTGAGCAGGAGCTGGATAATTTTATGGGTAATCGGGTGCTCTATTGCCCATGGCTATCTTTACTTTAAACTCCCAAGGCCCAGCCTGTTTCCCGGGTAACAGCCAGGGATCAGCTTAGTGGGCGGAGCCAGAACGAGGGCATGAAAGGGCTATTCAAGGCTGATTCGACTCATCCTGACGATTCTTCAACATGCAGTTCTAAAACTGTTCCAAAGTGACCCAAGTCAGAAAACTGACGTCAGTGAAAGCACAAGTACCTACACCATAAAGGTCAGCTTTCTCAGCTGCTCCTGAAACTATTTCCTATGTGCCGTTCACATACGTTTTTTCCATATATTACAGACATGACATAGCTATCCCCGTTCATAAATTTACTGAGCAAATGGCAGGATGTAACTATTCCAACAAGTTTAGCAAAGTCCTTCATCACCATCTCTCAGTTTCTGTGTTATGAGTATTACATGTGTTGGTTAAATCAGGAAGTGAGTGCAGCTGGAGAGGGCTTCAAAAACCACCTGTCGCTGCCTCTCCTCTGATGTTTCTCCCATGTACTTCCAGCGCATGTCTGGCCATGTTTGGTGGGCATGCTGTACTGTTTACCACCTGCAGGGGCCATAGGTCAGCCTCCACATTCTCTTCTGATTTAGATGTATCCCACGATTCCACATTCCCTACACAGTATGGGCCCATTGGGAAAATGTGAGAGCAAAGGGAAGACATTAATCATTTCTGAGAAGTCTGCAGGCCTTTCTCATCTGATTTTTTTTTTTATATCCTGTGTATCTGAGACTCAGAGGGTTTTGCTAATCTGAACATTAGTCTGGTGTGGGTTTCTCTGATCATTCTGACACTGGTTTGACAGAACAACCAGACTCTTTCCTCACGGAACAGCCCACTACAGCAACACTTTAAAAAAAAAAAAAAAAAACAAAACAAACGCTTCTGAAACCCAAGCTGCACACTCAGAAAAAGAACACAGACAAAGACAAACGTGAGTCAGAAATGCGAAATGATGTTGGTATTGTGTGAGGGATGTGGAGGGGACGCGTTTCTCAGACGCAGCGCTCTGAAAGCTGCCGACTGAATCTGATAATCATAAACCCTGGGCTGACAGCAATAGCAGGGAACACCCGTTAAAAACGTCCTTCAGCTCTTGAGAGGGGGTTGGAGTGAAGCTGGACTCCAGATATATGTGAATAACACTGTGTTTGGAGCCAGGGAGTCCCCCTTATCTGAATGTGAGCTGGAGGGGGTTACAGAAGCTCTGCCCAATTAGCTTAAAGAAAGAAAACGCAAGACAACAGTGCAGTACATCTACTCACAGAAGGTGCATGTAGGATGTGTGTGAGTGAGCAGTGTGAGTGTTGCATGAGACTGTGTGTGTGCGTGTGTATGAACAGTGTGAGTGCGTGTGTTTTATGAGACTCTGCGTGTGTGTGTGTGTGTGAGCAGTATGAGTGAGTGTGTTGTATGAGACTCTGCGTGTGTGTGTGTGTGCGTGCATGAACAGTGTGAGTGCGTGTGTTTTATGAGACTCTGCGTGTGTGTGTGAGCAGTATGAGTGAGTGTGTTGTATGAGACTCTGCGTGTGTGTGTGTGTGTGCGTGCGTGTATGAGCAATATGAGTGAGTGTGCTGTAGGAGACTCTGCGTGTGTGCATGTGTGTGTGTGTGTGTGCACGGCTCTGTACCGCTGTGGGGCTCGCTGGCGGTGAAGCCGGGCTCGGCGGGCGGCTCCAGGCTGTCCAGCAGGCTGTTCACTTTGTTCCTGAGCTCAATCAGCTCCCTCCTCAGGTATTTCACCTGGCTGGACTCCAACGGCCGCGGCTGCCCATTCACTGCAACGATAGGTCAACAAACACCGTCAACACACCACGTCAACCCACACCGTCAACACACTGCCACAACACACAGCGTCAACCCACACCGTCAACACACACCGTCAACACACTCTGTCAACTCACTACCAACATACATAAAATAGCACAAAGGTGATACACAATCCACATGCACAAACTGGTATAAGAAAAGCACACAGTTTAACACACGTAAAACTGAAGAGAGATGGCATACTGTCAACTTACTGTCAACACGTGCAAAAACAGCAGAGAAAACACAGAGCAACACATTACACACCACCAAAACAGTCAGTCAGCTCACTCTCAACACAAACCCCAAAGAGAAAACAGTCAACACACAAACTGCAGAAGGAAGAGGTCTGTGAACACCATAAGCACACCGCAGAGAGGTGAGGGCACATTAAATTTGTTACAGCTGTGTGTCTGTAATCATCTCCGAGCCGCAGAGGGAGCGTGGCTCAACACAACTTAACCACAGAAAAACAAAGTTAACACAGTCCTGCGTTCCAGCAGCCCAGCAGGAGGAGAGGACACTGCTGAGTCGCCTGGGGTAGCACCGTAGCATAATGGTTAAGGAGCTGCTTTTCCAAAGCAGATGTGGTGGGTTCAATTCCCAGGTAGTGCACAGACTACCTACTACCCTAAGTATTCAGCTCTATAATTCAATAGTGTGGAGAAAAGTACGCTGTCTGAGTCACTCTGGACTAAATGCCTAAACAGTATTTCACAAAACAGTATAGTAGGAGGATGCTTTTGACTGATGAGTTGAATCTATTGTTTTAGTTCACAGCTCAGTCGGAACCTGGGCCTGAACCTACACTGGCTGTTCTCTCGTATGATTGGTCACCTGTGCCCTCAAAACAAGAGCAAAGCTCATCGATGACTCTGTTAGACCAATCAGGTGTTTCAGTGCTGACTGGATTACCTAGCGACTCTGCTAAATGAATCAGCTGAAGGGTTGAGGAGAGGAGCCGGGAAAGAGAGGATGGGTTTAGTGGACGTGTGAATGAGCAGCAGGATGAGGCTCCAGGCTGGGCTGGGTTTGACACGCACCTGCTCGGAGGGGGTCCCCAACCCGAGCTGCGGGCGCATCAATCACAGCTGCGACGCCCGCCGCTCGCCAGCGCCCCTAAATTAAAAGGGGGAAAAAGCGATCGCGCTCGCTGGACGCCACCCCGAACCCGGAGCGGGGGCCAAAACCCGCCATCCGTCTCTGTGATTTACGGCGTTCGGCCCGGTTGCCAAGCAAGTGCAAAGCTGAGCCTCGTGATGAAGGGAACTGAAGGAAGGAGAGGTGGGGGTGGGGGGTGTGGGGGGGAGGGTGCTACAGGCCAAAAACCTACCTAAAGCCTCAGGAATCCTGCTCTGTAATAACAAAAGAAGCGACAGGAGAAGCGATTCATGGAGGGGATCGGAATTATGACCCATATCATCGCCATGGCAATCCTTGCCACTCCACCTCGTGCGGGCTGAAAAATGACTTGTGTGAGAAGTTTCCACAGAGGACAAGTAAGAAGGGATTTCGTTCTGTCTTTTGTTTCTGTTTGACTCACTTTTCCCTGACGGGCCTTTGGATGTCTAATGCTCGGGACTGGTGTTTTCATGGCCTCCCTCCGCGTTTTTCTGCCATTATCAAATGCTCAAAGTATGAAGGCCAACAACAAGAACGCATTCTCACTTACTTTATCAGGGCAAGTGAAGGTCCTATCAACATGCTGGCTTTGAACACACAACGAGGTACTGACAGAAAATTCTTTCCCGTCAAGTAGTAAAAATCTAGGTTATCACTTTCTTCAATCTCCACTAGGACCAAGGCCTGCACTCATCAAGTGTTTAGCAGTAACAAGAGTTGATCTAGGATCAGTTTAGCCTTCTCACTCTTAATGGATACAGTTAGGACATGAACAGGGATTGCCTGATTCTAGAACAGCACTCCAGCACCGATATGCTTTACGAATACAGATCCAATAGATGAATACAGACCTTAGAGCAGCACTCCTAGGCGGATGCTTTATGAGTAAAGATCCTAAAAATCTAGTATGTTCTGCAGTTTAGCTCATAATGGATAAGGTGGGATGGAAAGATGAAACCTGATCCTAGATAAGCACTCCAACGCTGAGATCGGTCATGGTGGTACCTGACTCCAGCAGTGCACTTTACACGGGCAACTGTATTCGTGTTTTCTCAATTTATTTCATTAGCTCTGTGCACAATGAACTCCAGCAAATATATCCAGCATATAGAGAGAAAAATTTATTTGAATATGGGCCTGAACCATAGAACGCTCTGGAAATCAGCACCAAGATGCCAGTCTATGCATCTTTGGAATCTGGACCTCCAGTTCCACATCTCCCAGGACGAATCCGGGGTTCGGCTGCTTTCAGGGATTTAACGAAGTCTGCTCAAAACGTGAGCTGGAGCATGGATCTCACAGGAGGACGGCCATTTTTAGGAGCGGAGGGATGTGAGGCAGGGCCAGAGCCACAGGATCATACCGCAGTGAGGAACAGGAAATAGGCTGTTCAGTTGTGGGTGAACGAGATTAACGAGCCGTATTAAACTGCCCTACAGCTGCGATATCATGCAAGTGACTGGCCATCTTCCACCGATTTAGACCCCCTGTTCTCTGCGCACACACACCCCCCCCTACCCCGGAAGCCTGCCCCTCTCCTGGGAAGTGTGGCTGAGTACGGGTCAAACAAAACAGCCACCTTTTTAAAAAAAAAAAAAAAAAAAAAAAAAAAAAGGAGATCTGCATCTGTGTGCTGATCCAGGATCAGGTTGTTCCTGGCCACCTCCTGATCTAATCTACAATCATCTGAAAGATAAAACTGATTGCAGGTCGGCAGTTACTACGTTTAAAGATGCTTTATGAAAACAGGCCCTGGTGTCTTTGCTTCCTAACCGCTGGCCTTTCCGAAGATACTGTCCCTGGAATTCTCATCACCAGCCTGCCGTGCTTTGGAAACGGTCGATCTCTTAAGTGCAGTAAAAGATGTGATTACCCTCTTAGCTTGTTTATGCATGTCGCTTTGCCAGGTGCTATACCCCAGGGGTTACAGGAGAAGAGAAATAACAGCAGGAAAAACAAAAAAAGCCAGGAGAGGAAACTAGCGTGTCTAATATTGTATGAGATATGCTAATCAAACCAGGCCAACCATACTGCGCTTTGGACCATGTTTCTGTGGAGGTACGGCTCCTTGCGTCATGATCTTCTAAAGTCAGCGCCCTCTGCTGGACGGTGAGGGGAACTGCAGCAAGAAACACTGAGCTACAGCCTGAAAGCCGGTAAAACTATTGTCCCGACAATGAACCAGCTAGTGCATCGACAGAATCCAAACTAAACGAACACTATACGCAAAAATGAAGCCCGTCTCCTTTGACCGACCACAGTGTCACACTCTCTCCAGCGCTGGGCGAAACTCCAGCTGCATTAGATCAGCTTGAAATGACAGAAGTAGGAGAAGATCAACTGGATTGAGAAAGACAAAGCTTCAGTGTAGGAAAAATGTTTATGGGTGTGTGCGCATGTGTGTATTTGTGTGAGTAGCTGTGTGTTTGACACGTCAGTAAGCAGTACTGGTGCCTGCTTGGTCATTCAGGTCTTCTAGCCTTAGAGGCAAAAATCTCCAGCTTCTCCATATGGAAACAAACAAGCAAAGTGACAAATAAACCCCCCCTCCCCCCTCAACCATGCCACCCCCTCTTACATCTCTAAACTCTATGAACTGGAAGCTATACAACGCTTTCCTGTTTGTATTTTTGCTGCCAAAAGTGATTTGAGAACAAATCAATCAAGGTAAGGTGTACGGGAGTCTAACCTTTTACAATGCTATTATTTTGTGCAACACTTTTTCCCTCTCCGAGTATAACGACATCACTCCTGTTTCGAATTTAAAGCATTTAAGTTCCCTGGTGGGTGTCCCATTTGCACCTTCACATTGTGGTCAAACGTTAAAGAAAGTACTGCAGGGGCACTCAAATCACAGTCGGATTTGGTTTTTAGATGGAAACTTTGGATTCCAGGACCATCTGGTTCTCAAACGTTTTTGGAAAGGAAAAGACCCCTCTAGCCTGGGTACTGTCCTCGACTGCTTCCCGATGCCGGGTTGCAGTTTCTGTCCCTGCTCTGTGTGCGTTTGATTAGAGCAGAGATCGGCAGCTCCGGTCTTGGAAAGCCGAAGTGTCTGCATGATTTTTGTGGTTTCCTTTCAGCGGGCAGCTAATATAGACCTTGGAAACGATGGGTTATGGACTCTTCAGCTAATCAGTGTCTTAAACGAATCCGTTTAAGTGCTGAAATACACCACACCAGCAAACATGCTGGGCCTCTGGGCTTGGAGCTCGGCTCCCCCGGTTTACAGGCACTGAGGAAGCAGAAGAGGCACCCAAAGGGATTCTGGGCCTGCTGTCTTGGCCCACCATTTTATATTGTGATGTTGGAGTCTTGCTACACGGTTGCCATGGCAAGCCATTGTGACACGTGTGGTGCTCAACAAGCCGGCATTCTAGACAGCTGCTGATTCCAGGTCTGGTACATCAGGTTAATTTGTGCCAAAATGATTCAGTGCAGGCAAGCCTCTTCTAATCAAAGCATTGACATGGAAACAGTTGTGGTGATGCCTGTATTGTATTATCCTAATCTGTTTGGAGGTTGATTCTCCTAGGTCCAGAGAAAGATCCCCCCCCCAAAAAAAAAAACTCAGATCGGCCCAGGATTTCAGATCGGCGGCTCCTGCAGGAAAGCTGGTTTCTGTTTCCACCTTAAAACAAGCAACCAACTTTGACTTAGAAACCCAGGGCAAAGGAGAGAGACATTAATTGTTCAATTAGGTACTGAAGACCATCAACAGAAAACAGCACACCCGGCAGCTTCCGAGAACCCTTGCCCTGCTACCGATCACCGATGTGAATGCACGTCTGCACCAGGAAAGACAAGCACACATATCACAGCTAACCTTCCTCAAATCCAAAGGGACATCACCAAGCGACTCCAGCCAAATAAGTGGAGCCGCTCTGTTGGCGGCAGCAATGAACGGAGGAGCCGCAGAGCCGGACTCTGTCACTCTGCCCAGGCCCATAGCGAACCGTGGGGTAACAGGGCCCCCCTTCCAACCCTAAACCCCACCGCCCCCCCCTTTTGTGCTGGCACTCATGGACTTGATTAAGTTAGGCTTGGTTAGGCCCAGGCTCCCTGTGGAAGCCAGACCGCCTTGCCAAGCACAATTAGGAGATAAAATCCAGGCTCAGGAGCTGCGGGCCATGGAGACGGAGGTCCAGAACTCCCCTCTGCTCTCTCAGCTCCCCTGTGACCCCCCAATTCTGAGACCACAATGAATCACTGCACCCATTCTAACCCTGACGCCCCCGGGGCGTAGTTTAGTAAAATAACAACTGTAAATAACCCCGCCCTCGCTGACGGATGGGGCAGGGGGTTGGATTCCCCCCCCCCCCCTCCCCGAGATGAGGCAAGCAGAGAGACTAAACCTGCATTTCTGTGCGAATGAACTTGGTTTACAGGGTGACAAACGAGTGTGGAATAATTTACAGTGGGATTCTTTTCCTTTCTTTCTTTAAATAATTTTTTTTTTCCCCAGGAAAAAAAAAAAGAAACTTTTCAATAAT